CATGACATCATCTTGCCTGCTACAAATGAATAGTCTGAAACTCACCTGCTGGCAGTGGCTGCATGGTTGTGGCTCACAGGACCCAGCTCAGTGTCTGAGGCAAAAGGAGCCACACGTAGTCTGAACCTGACAAATGTTAGTTCTCTTCAGGATGGCTTCCTTGCTTTGCTTAATATGAGTGGTGACATATAGGATCATGAACTCGGGCCCAATCATATGGTGTCACCAGCGTGGGTCTCAGGCTAGAGTGTCACGGGGGGAATGAATGACAAGTGACATCCTTGACTGGGAAGTTTGAAGGTTTAGAGAATCTGTGCATCTAGGATGGAGCCCGCATCCTGGCTGTTCAAGTCCTCTGTGTCCTCTGAGTGAGGTAAAATGATCTTAATTTTGTCTCCATGTCCTGAAAATAGAGGGGATTTTCTTCTGTCCCACTCAAGAGAGCACACAACACTTTATGTCCAGCTACTTCTCAACTTCACTTGTGATCCCTGATTCAAGCCACCATCATTTCTTGCCTGGATTTTGTGATGGTCTCTTAACAGGCTTCCCTTCTTCCAACTTTGACCCTGATCCAACCAGCAGTCAGAGAGATTTTTTTTTTTTTAAATATACAAGTCTAGTTGGGTGCAGTGGTGCACATCTGTAGTCCCAGAGGCTCAGAGGCTGAGACAGGAGGATCACAAGTTCAGAGCCAACCTCAACAAAAATGAGGTTCTAAGCAACTCAGTGAGACCTTGTCTCTAAATGAAAAATACAAAATAGGACTGGGCATGTGTCTCAGTGTTTGAGTGCCACTGAGTTCAATCCCCAAAACCAAAAAAAAATAAAAAAAAAAAAAATCCAATTCAGTAAGTCTTAGATGGAGTCCAAGGATATTCTTTCCTAACAAGTTCTCAGGTGCTATTCCTGGGCCAAACTTTAAGAATGCTTGATCTGGTGGCACATGCCATAATCTCAGGCAGGAGTATTGCAAGTTCAAAGCCAGCCTCAACAACTGAGTGAGGCCCTAAGAAACTTAGTGAGACTTTGTCTAAAAAAAAAAAAAAAAAAAAAAAAAATTTAAAAAGAGGGACCAGGTGCAGCATATCTTTAATCCCAGGGGCTCAAGAGGCTGAGGCAGGAGGATTAAGAGTTCAAAACCAGCCTCAGCAATTTAGCAAGGCCCTAAGCAACTCAGTGAGACCCTGTCTCTAAATAAATTACAAAAGAGGACTGGGGATGTGGCTAAGTAGTTAAACTCCCCTGAGTTCAATCCCTGGTACCAAAAAGGGAGGGTGGAAGGGGCTGGGGATGTGACTCAGTGATAAAGCCCCTTGGATTCAATTCCTGGTGCCAAAAAAGGAAAAAAAAAAAAAAGCCCAATCTAGACAATGAAGTTAATTATACCTGTGTTTAAATCCTAACCTTGAGCTGGACCTGGTGTCACACATTTGTAGACCCAGTTTACACCCAGAGTCTGAAGCAGGAGGACCCCTTGAGCCCAGGAGTTTGAGGCCAGCCGGAGCAACATAGCAAGACCTTCCTATAATCCCAGCAGCTCAGGAGGCTGAGGCAGGAGGATCATGAGATCAAATCCAGCCTCTGCAAAAAGCCAGCTACTAAGCAGCTCAGTGAGACCCTGTCTCTAAATAAAATACAAAATAGGGCTGGGGATGTGGCTCAGTGGTCGAGTGTCCCTGAGTTCAATCCATGGTATTCCCCCCCCCCAAAAAAAGCCATAGCAAGCCCTTGTCTCAAAACAAAAACAAACAAAACCCCAAAAACCTCACTTTGCCACTTGGTAGCTGTGTGACAATGGGTGATTAGTTGCAGAGCAGACTGAACAAATGTTAGCTGCAGGGTGAACTGAACACTCCACCCCATCTGTCTGGTTCCTTATCGCTTGTTTGCCTCAAGGCTGAACACTCAACCCCACTCAAGGCTGAACACTGGACCCCCACCCATCTGATGCAAAGGAAACCCATATCTAGCCCCTGCCTGGTCTCCCTAAGGGCAGAAGATGACACCCTTAGCAACTACTGTATGATCCAATCATTGTACACCCAGAGACCCCATTAGATTTTGGCTATAAAAACTCTCCCCTCTCTGCCCCCCCCCTTTCTTCTCTTACTCTCTCTCTGTCCGTGTACTTTGCTCTCATTTCTCTCTGTCTCTCTCTCTCTTCTCTCCCCACCCCCTTCCTTCCCTGTTAATCTGACACCACAGCAATAAAGAACTCTTGGTCCCTCTCCAAGTGTCGGGGTCACTTCCCTTTCAGGTGAGTTCAATAAAGAGGCTGAGCCTCACTTTCTTTATCTGCAAAAAGGAACAATAACTGTCTCAAACTTCAGTTCAAAGGATTAAATGACATCATGAACTAGAAGCTCCTGACGGGACAGTGGGGCTCAGGGGACATTGTTCTTCACTGACTGTCGAGTTCTACGACTAAAACACTCAGGGCCACTCCAGGTGAACTGGCACAAAATAATCACACAGAGACAGAGAAATGTCTTTTTCTTTGGGTCCTGTGACAGCTCCTCTGACCTTAAGGATCTATGGAAAGAGAGAGGAGAATGTGCTGAGCCCTTATATTGGGGAGAAGCCATTTAAATGAGGCAAGGGGTAGGATTACAAAGGAACAGGTAAGTGTAGCTCAACTCCCTCCGGGTGCCACCTACTCTTAGGGCCACACCTTGTTATTTGAGTGAGGGAAAAGCCCAGGTCACTACAGTGATCTTTCATATCGCTGTGATTAATCAGGACTTAAAGGTGCGTGCATTTGGAGTGGCTCCCCACAACTGACCACCTTTGTACAGTCATTTAGATGGTCCTTGAGTCAAAAGGAAGATCCATGAAAGTTTAAAAAAATAGATTAGAATGGATACTGCCAGGTGATCACCACCCACTCAGAGGAGGGTCCTTCTGGAACTTTCCTTTTGGATTGAGGTTGTAGCTTGGTGGTATATTGCTTGCCTAGCATGTACAAGACTCTGGATTTGATATTCCCATCACTGGGACAATAAATAAATAAATAAGGATAAAGGTCCCTTCAGCAGAGATTTTTGGGATTTAGGCCCAGCTACTGGGAACATTGCTGATGAGATTCAAAAGTCTTTTAGGGATATTTAAGGGGGGGCTTGAGAGCTCATTAAGAGAGAATGGTCAGGGCTGGGGTTGTGGCTCAGTGGTAGAGCGCTCTCCTCGCATGTGTGAGACCTCTGGGTTCGATCCTCAGCACCATATAAAAATAAACAAACAAAATAAAAATATTGTGTCCATGTATAACTTAAAAATATATATATATTATTATTATTTTTAATATTTATTTTCTAGTTTTCGGCGGACACAACATCTTTGTTTGTATGTGGTGCTGAGGATCGAACCCGGGCCACACGCATGCCAGGCGAGCGCGCTACTGCTTGAGCCACATCCCCAGCCCAAAAAAAATATATTTTTTTTTTTAAAAAAAAGAGGGGATGGTCATAGGGAGAGCAGCCTGGCACCCAGGAAATGCCTCCTAAACCCACCCCCTCTCTCCAGCACCACCCTTCACCTTGATCCATGTCCTCATCGATTTTCCCCTGTTGTTACAACTCCCCTACAGTTGGAGCTTATCAGCTCCAACTCTTTTTATCTATTTCCACAATCCTTTTCCCAAAGCAAGGAACAATCATGTCAAGGCCTGGACTCTGGAACCTGACTAATCCCACCACTGCAAATGCATCTCATGAATGACTCTGGGAAGTTCTCCAAACCATCCCATTCTCTCTTTCCTTCTCTGTAAAATGGGGATCTGAATGCCTTAACCCCTTCGGTATAAACATAGTGGGCACTTAATCATACCCATGTCCTTTGTCCTCCATGTAAGCACAGATCACATATAGATCGAATATTCCTCCTACTCAAAGCCCTTCAAGAGCTCCCCACTGCCTAGTTGTTTTAGTCTGTTTTACATGACTGTAACAGAATACCACAGACTGGGTAAATTAAAATCAACAGAGGTTTATTTAGCTCGTGGTTCTGCAGGCTGGGAAGTTCAAGATGGAAGAACTGTACCTGGTGTGGGTCTTCTTGCTGGGTTACAATGTGGTGGAAAGAATCACATAGTGAGAGATGGTAAGAGGAGTTGGGAAGAAAGGGGCTGAGTTTATTTTTAACCAGGAGCCAACTCTCTTGGTAACTAACTCACTCCCTCAATAAGGGCATTAATCCATTCATGAGGGTACAGTGCTCATGGCCTAATCACCTCTTTTAAGTCCCACCTCTTATTGGGCACATACCTGTAATCCCAGAGGCTCAGGAGGCCGAGGCAGGAGGATGGCAAGCTCAAGGCCAGCCTCAGAAACCTAATGATGCCCTAAGCCTCACTTAGAAAGACCCTGTCTCAAATTCAAAAATAAAAAGTGCTGGGGATGTGGCTCGTTGTTAAAATACCCCTGGGTTCAATCCCTGGTACTAAAAACTGAATTTAAAAAAAGGTGAGAAGAGAACAGTGCAGACATGGAGAGAAATAGATGTTGAGATGTTCCAAAAACTTAATCAGGAGATCCATAAATGGGAAGAGTAATAACTTGTAGAGTAGCCTCCATTCCTAATGGTCTCTCCAGTCCCAGTCTGATACTGAACTTTTCTTACGGCTCTTAAATCCTGAGTGAGCAAGGGTGTGGCAGAAGGGAGTTTCTTGTTCTGCTTGGGGCCCATTGGGCCTCTGACTAGTGTATGGCAGAAAAGATCTGTTCAGAAAAGCAGGCAGGAACCTCCCTTTGCCCCACACACCACCAGGTCTGATGGCCAAAGGCCAGGGACAAATTAGGGCTAAAGGTCTCTCCCCAGATGCACCCAAAAAGATGAGCTGGTATGGAAAGAACTTGACATCAGCTGCTGCCTCCTGGCCCAGGCTCCCTACCCACCACTTCCTCCTGGGCGTGGTGACACAGGCACATTGGTCAGGATGGATAGAGATAGAAGTATGTGGGTCACAACAGTGCTCCTTCCCCTTATTCCACCTCCCCCCGCCAAGAGGTTAGAAGGAGGCTGTACCTCACGGGAGAAGAAGTCACAAAAGGCCAAGGGACATCATAGTGGTTGGGGCTTGGAGGCCACCATCCTATTCCAACACCCTTGTGATCTCAGGTGGGCCTGAGCATTCCAACGTTCTAGAAACTCACTCTGGATTTTCTGTGGGAGGGCTGAGCTGAGCACACTACAGGTAGGGATTTTCTAAGGGTGGCATCTCTTGGGCATTGTGGGGTCTTATGGCCATTGTGTGCTCTCACTCTAGGGCTGTGTATCCAGGACTCTAGCGTGAGGCTGATCTTGTGGGTGGTTTTGACCAAAAGAGCATACAGTTCAGGAACCAATCATGGGTAATACCCTTACTGTGATGTCTTCCCCCTCTCTGACAGTTGATGCCATCCTTCACATACAGCACAGACTTCTATAGGGATCACCAATCTGTGAGCTCAAATTGTATCATATTAACCTTCATGCTCCTTGTTATTGCCTTATTACCCCCGCATCTGCCAGTACAAGATCTCTAGTTCTTGCAAATCCCCTGTGCTATTGTAGAAAGTCTCCAGTGATATTTTACTTGTGCTTCATGCCCTGGTGTGTGATCTACCCAGGGGTTATACCTTGACTGCTATTCTTTTCTTTCTTTCTTTCTTTCTTTCTTTCTTTCTTTCTTTCTTTCTTTCTTTCTTTCTTTCTTTCTTTCTTTCACACTAGGGATTGAATCCAAGGGTGCTTTATCACTGAGCTACATCCCCATCCTTTACATGTTTTTATTTTGTGACAGGGTCTCACTAAGTTGCTGAACCTGGCCTTGAACTTGCCATCCTCCTGCCTCAGCCTCTAGAGCTGCTGAAATTATAGGCGTGTGCCACCTCTCCTAGTTTGGCTTCAGTTCTAAGCCAAGACTTTAGAGAGAACCACGCTTCTTACTGTTGACCCTGAACCCTGGAAATGCCAGATTGTTGGGGGAGAACAGCTCTCTCTGCTTTGATTAATTACATCATAGTAAAGTTTCCCAAATCTATTGCTTGAGTTTCTGCATGTACAGGCTAGTGACGCAGCTCTTTTGGGTTTTATTGCTCTCTCTTTTTCCCTCCCTCCCTCCCTCTCTTGAACCCAAATTAATGTTCATAGGCTGAGCCAGACACATATTTGGTTAATAACTATCATACCATAAGAAGGATCACTATTCCCCTCTGACAACTAAGACTTTGCTCCTAGGTCAAGCTCATTGTAGTTTTGTTTTGTGTTGTTTTCCCTAGCCTCCAGCTTTACTTACTTTTGGTAGGAATGAAACAAGTGTACATCTTAAGTTACATTAAAAATTTTATTTTTTCCTTTTAATTGTCCTTGTAGGACTATGCTTTAGGCTGTACTCTCTGGCCAGATATTCAAGGCCATGTTGGTCAAAACTGACTTTGATCCTATTTATTTTTAAAGTCAACAGAGTTTCCTCAGAAATCACACTTAGAGACCTGTGCAAAGCCATCTGGCTTCTTTAGCTTTCCTATATCAGTGGTGCCACTTGCCAGAATGGGTCAGGGTCTGGTTGACCCCAGGACAAGCATCAGGGACATTTCTGTCTCCAATGATCCTCCTCTTTGAAAAACGTGCGCTGGTTGGCTTCCTGTTCTCCAGGGTCCTCTTAATCTCCCTGATCAGCAGATAGGGTGACTCACCAGAGCTGAGGGCCCAGAGAGGGGTCCTGTCATTCTCTGGGTCCAAACTCATTATATTTTTTCTGCTTTCTCTCAAAAAGGTCTTCTGCAGGGACACCTCATTTGTTTTCTAAACATGCTCAGGCATCCTGGAACTTCCAAAATAATCCAAAGTTAAATTTGGCCTGCTCTGCACACTGGAGTATGGGAAACCCCTGCCTATTTTATTTCATCACATCAAGGTGAGTGAACTCTCCACCACCACTCTCTCTCTCAATGGGAAAAAAGAAATGCATTTTTCATCTTCCAACCATGCAGCTTGATCCTATCTAGAAAACAAAGGAAGCTGGGCATGGTGGCCCATGCCTGTTATCCCAGCAGCTTGGGGAGGCTAAGGCAGGATGATAGATTGTTCAAAGCCGGCCTCAGCAACTTAGCCAGGCCCTAAGCAACTTAGTGAGACTTTGTCTCTAAATAAAATATAAAAAGGGCTGTGGATATGGCTCAGTGGTTAAGCACCCTTGGCTTCAATTCCTGGTGCTTAAAAAAAAAAAAAATCAAGAAGAACCTAGCAGATTTGTTACTATTGTAACCGTGGTCCACTTTATGCTTTGAATATAGCCCTTGCAGCTCTGCCACTGCAATTTATTTTAAAAATAGACATGTTTCTTTATCTTCCTCTCTCCCCCTCTCTAATCTCAGGGGAAACAGGATTACCTTTCTTCTTCATCTCAGGCAGATTTATCTGTTCTTGAGTAGGAACGAAGTTATTAATTCAGACTTTGGGGATTGTACCAGAAGATCTCAGAAATGACTATCTCCCAAATTAGCAAGAGAATTCTCACTCCAACAAAGAACTCGTGGACTGTAGCCTTTGAGTCACCTCTTTAAAAGCCCTCTGTTCCTGTTGATGGGCAGAATCATAGCCTCTGGGACAAGAGTCCCTATATTTCTCCTTTGCTAGTGAAATAATATACCTTCTTTTTCTTTTTTCTCAAAACCATGTTCTCATTATTGGATTGGCATCGGGGACAAGGACCAAGGTTTCAGCAACACTAGGATGTCACTGTCAAGAGGTGGAAAGCTGTGGGGAGGCACACAGCCTCTTTCCAATAGCCAAATGATTAGGAAGACCTCCTGCCTGTTCTCGCCACCTACTGGACTCTTTCTGCCACATCTCCTCCTGCTGAACATTCCCGAAGCTCCTTCAGGAGCTGTGACAGTTCCTTTCAAAGCCTTGTATGACTTTCTATTACTTTAAAGGGTATTGGCCAAAGCTCATATTGTGGAACTATATAGGAACCCATTTGTGCTGTCCAAAACCAAAAGAATAAATTTGTTTAAAGGACATTATGAAACCCTTAGAGGAATCCATCGCAATGTGGCCTTCCAGGTGGCTGGAAGAGGGCACTGCATCTCCTCCATCCTTCGAAGTCTCTCTCTCATCAGGCCATCTTTCTCCATCTCTTCAACAAAGGGGGAAGATGGTGGTCCTTCCTAACTTCATTCATACTTCATTGAAAAGATCCTGGAAGCCAAGCCCTCAGCTTCCAACCTTAAGAGGGAAAATCTGACTGATCCAGATAGAGATAAATGTCCACTTTATGAGAATCTGCTATGGCCAAAAGAACAGGGTCACATGATTATACAAATCCAGTGTCTGGACACCTCACCTGAGTGGAGAAGTTGTTACCAAGTAGAAGTTAGAGGTCTAGGGGCTGAGGATGTGGCTCAAGTGGTAACGCGCTCGCCTGGCATGCGTGGGGCGCTGGGTTCGATCCTCAGCACCACATAAAATAAAATAAAGATGTTATGTCCACCGAAAACTGAAAAATAGATATTAAAAAAAATTATCTCTCTCTCTCTCTCCTCTCTCTCTCTAAAAAAAAAAGTTATAGGGCTAGCAGACACATCAAACTTGTCACCCGAGGTAAAACACAATGATACTCCATTTTCCAATCTTATTCTGAAATGTCTCGAAAAAGACCATGTGGTCCCCAGCCTGTGGCACTATTAGGAGGTGGTGGAACTTTCAAGAGGTGTGGCCTAGTGGAAGGAAGTTAGGTCATCTGGGACATGTCCTTGAAGGGAATATTGGGACTATAGCTCCGTACTATCTCTGCATTCTGGATGTCATAAGGTAAACAGGTCTCCTCTGCCATGTGCTCCTACTATGAAGTATTGTGCTGCTACAGGCTCAAAGAAACAGGGCCAAGCCACCATGGATAGAAAAACCTCTGAAACTCTGATCCAAAACAACCTTTTCTCCTTTTAAGTTGATTATCTCAGGTATTTTGTTACAGTGATGGAAAACTAATAACTTCATAACTTGACCCAAACTTTTCCTTAGCCTCATGTCCCACTTTCTTTCCTCAATGTCTCTAATCATTCTATCTCCTTAATCTGTAAGTGTATTCCCTAACACCACTTGCTAAAAAATCCTAAAACCTCTAAAATGTCATGACAACTTCACTGTGTAATATTTTTTTTAAAAAAATTTAGTTGTAGATGAACACAATACCTTTTCATTTAATTATTTTTAATTTTTTTTTCAGTTGTAGATGGAACAAAACCTTTATTTTATTTATTTATTTTTATGTGGTGCTGAGGATTGAACCCAGTGCCTCACATGTGCTAGGCAAGTGCTCTACCACTGAGCTACCACCCCATCCCCCACTGTGCAATCTTGTATATACTTTGGCCTAATAACATATTATCAGAGTTGAGCTGGGTGCAGTGGCAGACATCTGTAATGCCAGTGACTTGGGAGGCTAAGATAGAAGAATCACAAGTTTGAGGCCAGCCTCAGCAACTTAGTGGGATCCTTAGAAACTTAGCAAGATTCTATCTCAAATAAAAAATAAAAAGAACTTGGGGATAAAGCTCAGTGACAAAGCACCTCTGGGTTCAACTCCCAGTACCAAAAAAAACCCCCAAAAACCCCCACAAAACCAGAATATCAAGTTGAAAGGATTTCCAAATATCACCTAATTCCACCCTCCTGTACCTAACACAAGTTCCTCCAAATACAAGTTCAACCAACCCCTGCTTATACACCTTCAGAGACAGGATGCTCATGAGTTTCCAAGCAGGTCTTTTGCATCTCCTGCACCTCTGAAATCTTGCCAAATCAGCCCCTGCAGAAATCTCGCCAAAGCTCATGACACCCTTAGTCTTCTTTCTTCCTGGCTGATCATCCTCTGTTAATTTCCTGTAAGACCAATTCTCAAGTCCTCTGGCCACCCTAGGAGGAACAACTGTTCCATTTTTCCCTCCTAAAATCTACTGCCTCAAAATGCATGCAACAAGAAGGCTCGAGAAACTATTTTGATACAGAAAGGAAGAAGAAAAAGGGCTGAGAATATAGCTCAGTTGGTAGAGTGCTTGCCTTGCATCTCGAATGCACAAGGCCCTGGGTTAATCCCCAGCACCACAAAAAAAAAAAAAAAAAAAAGAAAATCAGTCTAGCCAAGAATAAGCTGGTAGAGGCTGGGGATGTGGCTCAGTGGCAGAGCACTTGCCTAGCATGTGCAAGGTTCTGGGTTTCATCCTCAGACTGAAAAAAGAAAATGTTAAAGCAATGAAATATGTCCATTTTCTAGAATACTGTTCAATCTTGAACAAAATTTGTTAGACTTACATATAATAGCATAGAAAGATTGTCATGATAATGTAAGCAGGAAAAAACAAGTTGCAGCGGGTATTACATTGTCTACTAGGCAGGAAGTCTGTCTCAACCTCCCAGTCCCATATCTCCCTTCTCTCTCTCTCTCTCTCTCTCTCTCTCTCTCTCTCTCTCTTTTATTTTGATAAAACTTGCTAAGCTACTTAGGGCCTCACTGAGTTGCTGAAGCTGGCCTTGAACTTGCAATCCTCCTGCCTCAGCCTCCCTAGTCGCTGGGTTTACAAGTGTGTGCCACCATGCTCAGCCTTTATTGTACATATTAAAAGAGGAGGCTATTTACTGAACTCTAAATAAATGTTATTTGTAGATTCTAGAGATGTCTTGAGTTATCTCTAGAGTAGAAAAAATGAGGTTTGGGGAAACTTCTGTGTGAGATATATATATATTATATGTAATTTTTATTCTTTTATTTAAATTTTTTAATTACATGTAATTTTTAAAAATTATATGTAATTTTTTAAAATAAAGAACACATAGTAATTTTATAATCAAAAAGAATGATAAAGAAATCACAATTCCAAATATCAGAATGTTGCTCTCTCCTTACCCACATTCTTTCTTTTATTCATTCAACAAACACTAAGACATTCTTTGCACCAGACCCCAGGCTGGGCCTTGTGTGAAGTATAGTTATAGCTATGAAGAGCTCACAGGCGTCAGAGGAAGCCTAGCATGGTAAATGCTAAAACAAAAGAAAGCTCAGAGCTTTGGGATGCCAGAGGAAGGACTTCCTGGAGCTTGGAAGACCATAGTGTTTGTTGGGCACAGAAACAGTCATGGACTTTCAGGTGACAGAGCAGCTCATGCTGCCTTCTGGCCACTTCCTCTACCCCTGGCACACTCACCCCAGCCATCCCAACTCTCTGCTGCACCCTGTCCTTCCCGTCTACTCTCACCCAGCAGCCTGAGTGACCTTTCAAAACCAGGAATCAACTATGCCACACCCCTGCTTAAAACCTTTCTGTACCTTTCTCTTGCATAAAAAGTTTAAAAATCCTTCACATGACCCATCAGACCTCACATCCAATCTACCCGGAAATTCTGTTGGCTCTCCCTTCAAAATATATCCAGTCTGACCCCCTCTCCCCATCTCCAAGGTGCCCACCCTTGGACACTGCCCAGGACATCTGCAGGAGTGACCTCACTGTCTCTCTGCTTCCAGGTCTCCACCCCATGACCCCACCCACAGCCAGAGGGCTCTCGGTCATTCTTCTAGTTTAAACCCTCCTATCTTATCCAGAGTCAAGACCAGAGGCATCCCCTGGCCCACAAGGCCCTGCACCGCCTTGCCCTACAGGTCTCTCTGACACCACCTCCTATCTTCTGTCTGGCTTCCTCATCACCTGCCACACGGGCCTACTCGTTGGTCCTCCCACATGTCAGGTCTGCTCCCACTGGGGCTTCACCATGGCCGTTTCTCACCCAAAAGCTCCTCCCCCAGATTATCTCACAACTCCCTCCTCACCTCCCTCAAAGCCACCCTCTCCTTCCCAATATGTGTATCCTCTGTTCCCTGAGTGTCCATCTGCCATGGCTTTGAGTTCTTTCATCCCTTTTCTCTCTTTCTCTGTTCTCATGGAAGGAGATGACTGGCGAGAGCTTCTCGCATTGGCCCCAGAAACCAAACTGAAGCTTTCTGTTGCTTAAGTTGGTGGAAGGTTGGTGAGGGTGTGAAGGCCATGGCCCTGGGTGTCAACCCTAAGTCCCCTTGAGGCATAGCCTGTTGCTGGAAGTCACATGGGCAAACACAGGGGAGGAGGAGATTGGAAACAGACTGTGCTAAGTCAGGCCCAGGTCAGGGACCAACAATGGGGACACTCATCTGGATGCTGGAGATCAGGTCATGGGGGTTCAGGCTGGTGGGAAAAGCACCTTAGAAGTGTGTAACTCCAGAGTTTGACTGCAAATTGAAATCTCTAACAAAGGAGAATGAGGATGTAGCTCAGTGGTAGACATCTTGCCTAATATGCATGAGGCCCTGGGTTTGATTCCAGAACCAGCAAAAAAATAATCAGTAACAGTCCCAGCGCAGTGGTGCACACAGTGGCTCGGGAGACTTCAAAGCCAGCCTCAGCAACTTAGTGAGGCCCTAAGCAACTTAGCAAGATCCTGTCTGTAAATAAAATACAAAAAGGGCTGGGGACGTGGCTCAGGGGCCAAGCGCCCCTGGGTTCAATCCCCAGCACTTAAAAAAAAAAAAAAAAATCTGTAACAAAGTCAGACCAATAGTCCCACAATAACAACCAAGATCACATATCCTTACTACCTTCCCATACTTTGCCTCACATCTGCCTGACCTTGTCCTATAACTCAAACTATTTCTGCTTACTATGTGCCAATCACTGTGGCCTCCTCATTGCTAGAACACCCCAGGTCCTGCCTCAATGTCTTTGCACTTGCCATTCTCTCACATCCTCAGATATCCTCATGTTTATTCCTCATTTCATTCAGGCCTCTACTTCAAAGGCACTTTATCAGTGAGGCCCACCCTGGCCACCGCCACATGATACATGCTCACCATACTTCCTACACCTCTTGCTTTTCCTCCTTAGCATCAATTGCCAACACATGATTGATTTTTTATTTATTTTTGTCTCTTCCCACTAGTATGTCAGCTCCATAAGGTCAGGGATGTTTGTATATTGTGTTATATTTCCAGTGTTTA